TATATATATATATATATATAAAACACATCTTCTTACGTTTAAAAACAGTAAAGTGCTATGTATGTAAATATGAAAGTTAGTTTAGGTGTGAGATATGTAAATACAGAATAAGTATGTGTTAGGTATGTAAATTTACCCATTTTTTTAATTATCTTTTATAAAATAAAGTAAAACAAGTTACCTGGGTTAAGAGCTCTGAACCGAATGGCAGCCCAACCATTCCTGGGAACTCCAACAGTATTCTCAAAAGAGGGATCAACAAGATTATAATTCAAAGGATCCCTATTCTTGTCAAAGTTCCCAAACCCTCTTCCCACCACGTAGAAGCTATACCCATGAAGATGCAGCGGATGGTTCTCCGCCGCCAGCAAACTCGTCCCCTGAAACACTATCTCCAAACTCGTGTTATACTCCACAACCCTCACCTCCCTCGCCCTCCTCGGAAACAGCAAGTACCCCGGCAGGTTCTCCCCGGTGAAGTTGAAGTTCAGCGGTGGCTCCGATGGAAACCCTGTCCCGTACACCCCACTTATGTTATAATAATAAGCCTCTAGTATGTCTGTGGTCGGTAGGGGGAAGCTTAAGTTGTTAAGGCTGGCGGCAAATCGGTCGCCGTTGGGACCGCCGCACGTTCTTCCCGGTTCGCAAGTTAGGAGATTGACCGCCACCGTTATGATCAAACGTTGGTCCATGACTTGCGGCACATTGACCGGGTGGTCAATGCTGGCCAGCGAGCGTAGCCCGGCTACAAATCGTGTGGCGGCTGCGTTGTCGGTGAAGTTGGGGAGAGTGGTGGAAGGGAAAGATGGGGTTATGTTTGGAGTGCCGAAGTTGTATTGGAGAATGGCGGTGGTGGTGGTGGTGTCGTAAGGGACTCCCTCTGCGCTGGCGTAGTTGTGGGCGGCGATGTAGTGGCGGCCTCCATTGGTGGCATTTGCGACAAGGAGAATGTCCATGGTTTGTCCGGGGGTGATCATGATGAAGTCGGAGGAGTATGGTTTGATGTAGCTGGCATCTTTGCCGACGACAGTCAGTTTGTGATTGGCGATGGCAAAGAAGAGCTCGCTGGTGACTGCGGCGTTGATGACACGGAGAAGGTAGGTTTTACCATACAAGACGTTGGCGATGAAGGTATTGGGTTTTGAGCAGGCGTATTGGTCTCCTGGCTGACCATTGATGGTGTAGGCGTCGGAGATGTTAGGGGCGCCGCCAGTTTGGAGAGCTTCTTCGATCACTCGGCTAACATTTGCTTTCCACCACTC